AAAAATTCTCTACCAATAATAAATTTTCAGAAGTTGGTCTATCTGGTGATACTTTGCAGTATCAACAAAACTAAGCCTTATTCAAAGGGAAGTTGTAAATTTATTATAAGATATATATACTTATTCTCAGAGAGCTTTGGCCACTCTTGTCATTTCTCATGCTTGTGGCTACTGGAATCTTTGTCTACTTACTGGATGGAGCTTTCAATGCGGGTAATAGTGAGGAAAGCAGCAAGGTTGGCTGTGTAAGATGAGATGACAATCAAAGCAAACAGCCACCAAGCCCCCATCATCATTCGAGTAGCCAGCGTTGTGTATGGGACCTCCCCACCTGTGGAAATAAGTAGAGATTAAAAGAACATCAACAGGTATTGTTTGGGAATCTGAGGTCATACAAGTTCAACACAAAATTAACTTTCAAGTAATGAGAAATCTTTCTACTTAACATCAGCATAGCTCTCTCTATATTTTCATTACTTTATATTTCATTCTCTTCTATGAGACTATGTGAGATCTAGTCAAAAAGAAGCATGACAAATATTTGGTATAACATGTTTAAATGATAGTTCTTCTCCTTTCCTGTTCAATCCTCTTATTACAACCACAGATGTACGCTTTCTTTCCAACGGCTTCATCAGTCATTAGTTAGGTGACATTAATACTGCTATGCTTATACTTAATGTAACTTTTCATGATTTCCAGTTAAATAAATATTATTGGAAGCATTTATATAACCAAAACATTTGTACCCCTGTAATACTCTGAAACAAAATTAAGAAATTTTTTTTAAAGATTTCTGTGGCTGTACTTTGTTATTTAGTTTCAAATTTGTAACATGTAAATGTCTTCTGTGATTAAAAAGAATATTAAATTTAAAAAGCAAATTGAAAATAAAACGACAGAAATGAATCCGAGGGTATATGAAGTTAGTGACATAATTATAGAGAGGAAAGAATTACTTCAAATCACTTTAAAATACAATGACCGCATCCCATACTGAAGGTCACAGTCCTTTTGGGCAGCCCTCTCATACAGCTGTCTTGTCAGGTTCCAGAAACCATTCTCTTCCTGTCCCCTTAGGCCTGGTAGTGATAACAGCTCTTTTCTGTAACCAGTGTGTGTTGCATCAGCCCTATTACTTTCTCAAAACTCCACTCACATCATTGTAAATAGTCCTTTCAGTAAACTCTTCTCCATTTCCAGAATCTGAAATAGAATGTATCATCTATTTCCTATACTTTAGCACCTATGGAAAGAGAACCACAAAATGGGATTCTGGGATTGGACGGCTCCCATATCTGCGTAGTGCATATTGATGGGAATTGGGACAATGGCAACCCACAGCCTCTGGTTACATTATGATTGTTTAAATAACCACTGGTGTTGTCATGGGATGAAGCACAGGTTGAATGTAAGGGCTTGGGAGACTAACTGTTGTAGCAGTTATAGCGATTTTGAAGCTGTGGCTCCATTTAAGTGCTCTGAAGCCTCAGAATGAATACAAAGCATAAAGGAAAAGTTGAAAGCAATGAATGCCCAGCTCATAAATAAGGTAAAATGTGAGTCTTGATGGCAGCTTTTAAGCAGTCTCTTAATCCTGTAGTTTCAGAGTAGATACGACTGGGGACAAGACTAAGACTTGACCATAAGTGGCAAATCTGCCACATAAGGTCTCTCATGCCAAGGGAAGGGCATTGATGAGAAATACGAATTTCCAAATTCCTCTGAATCTCCTTGCTATTGGAAGCAACCTCACACCACTTCTGAAGGAATCAGGCTTTCTCTGCAAAAAACACTTTTCAATAACTGGACCTAGGAAATTTCACAGTTCTCTTCTGGACTCACTACAGTACTCTTCATTGCTTCCAGGCTACAGGTTAGGGCCAAATTAACTGAGTCAGAGAAGTATACAGTGCACTTATAGAAGTTTTATACCAAAAAGAATGAAAGGTAAGTATAGAGAAGAGCAAATGTGGTAATGATCTCAGATTTGGGACTTAACGTATTGATTTGATATGTGGGAATGGTGGTAGTAGTTTGTTAGAGTGGCTAGTTGAAGAGTTGACCAAAAATGAATGGATTTTGAAGGTAACCTGTATACAAATTCTCTGGCATACCATAGAGATTCAGGGAGGTGGGAATGTTGGAATGGATCTACTCTGGATCAACCTACTCACTTCCCTTACACGACAGGGACACATTCTCCACAAAGACATTAAGAAATGCATGGGAGAGGATAGAACACAAACATCTCTGAAGAGTTCTGGGTGCTTGTCCTCTGATTCTTGAGATGACATTGGGGAATTCTGTAATAAATTGTATTTCTTGATAGCAAAATGAATGTATTATCCCAAGTTGGTAGAGGCTAATTGTAGATGTCTATCAGAGATAAGGTAAAATTACCATAATGAGCCATGGCTACTTATGAGTGATAATTAGAGTGATAAAATTGACCTTCCTAGATCTACAGCAATAGCTTATTGATTGAAGGGTCCCTAAAAGTAAAATAGGTGCTTCTATTTACATAAATTACATAATTCATAACCTATTAATTATAGGTTATAATTTATAAACTGTTAAGGTGCTTCTTGACAGGTATTGACAAAACCATTCTAGATCTGAGGGCAGAAACTTAGCCTCAATTACTGAGTGGGAATCTTGAACCTCTTATTTAGTTCCCAGCACTCATCCAGTTTATGGATCCAGAACCCCAATATTGAAGAAGAAGTCAAGTTAGCATTTTTTGGTATGTCCTTTTTGACATTTTAAAAAATGATTTTTAGTAGTAGTAGGATGGCACACTCATAATTTTGTATCCTATTTACTGTATCTTCAATGGCTAAACAATATTTTTCATTCAGATGTACTATAACTTAAGTAATCTATTTTTTTAAATTTGGAAATTTATACTATCATATATTACATTGCTATAAACATATAACCTTTTAAATATTGTAAATTATTTTCTTTTGATAGAACCCATGAAGAGAAGTTATTTGGTGAAACCAATTAGTTGTTTTATATCTTGTACAGGTGATAAGAATTTTCAAACATGTTTTATAATACTATTTATCGAAAAAATAGTGATAGGTAATTTCTCTTCTCTACTGGTACGATGGTTAATTTTAGATGTCAGCTTAACTGGACTAATGAATACCTAGAGAACTGGTAAAGCACTACTTCTGGCTGTGTGTGCGAGGGTGTTTTCCGAGGAGACTGGTTGTGAGTCACTGGACTGAGTTGGGGAGATCTGCTGTCAATGTGAGACGGCACCATTCAATCAGCTGGGGGCCCAGACAAAATAAAAGAAGGAGAAAAAAGGATGTCCCCTCTCTCTTTCCTGGAGATAGGACACATTCTTCTCATCCTGCTCTTGAACATCAAGATCCCAGGCTCTCTGGCCTTGGGACTCCAGGACTTATACCAATGCCTCCTCTACCCACCTTGCAGATGGCCTGTCTAGGAACTTCTCAGCCTCCATAATCATGTCAATCAATTTCCCTAATAAAACTCTTCTCAGATGTCCACCTATATCTATATCCTCTCTATGTATATCTATATACACAGGCATATCTCATTATATTGCACTTTGTTGTATTGCACTTTGCAGATACTGCACTTTTTACAAATTGAAGGTTTGTGGCAACCCTGAATTGAGCAAGTCTATCAGCACCATTGTTCCGATAGCGTGTGCTCACTTATGCCTCTGAGTCAGCATTTTTTAGCAAGAAATTAATTATGTACATTGCTTTTAAAGACATAATAATATTTCACACTTAAGAGGCTACAGTGTAAATATAACTTTTAGACTCACTGGGAAATCAAGAAATTTGTGTGATTCACTTTATTGGGATATTTGCTTCATTTTAGCAGCCTGGAACTGAATCTGCATTATCTTCAAGGTCTGCCTGTGATTACCCTTTTGGTTCTGTCTCTCTGGAGAACCCTGATTAATACAGTTGCTATTTCAGTTGATTTTCAATGACAAAACATTGCTCTGGACTGGCTGATAGATCTATGTGCAGATAAGCAAAAGTAGGCTAGAAAGCATTAGAACACGTAATTGAAATGACAATTTCTTGTAATAGAAGCCTTCTCTAACTTAATATTCACATTTTCAAAGTAATTATAATACATGCA